GGGTAGTCCGCCGAGGCCAGGTTTTCCGCCGTGCCATAAGCCGTCTCGAAAAACTGGTCGAAAGCCTGGGGTAGGACCCCGTTCCTGCCCACCGTGCTATAGAAATTGGAGGAGACGTTGGTGCTGGGGTGGTAGACGTTAGCTGTGTTTTTGCCGAACATCTCGCCCATGCTAGCAGTGTTGGTGGCAGGCAAGCAGTCTCTGTGCATGATCTCCTCTGCGGAGTAGCAGTGGGGCAGATTGTTCCTGGGGTGCCATTTACTGGAGGGATCAATGGCATATTCCCTGAAGGTAACTTCTCTCACAGGTTGGACCTGGGGTAGGTTGGAGGAGTAGGAGTATGTCATAGGGCGAGAAGACGGGGTCTGGGGCAAAAAAGAAGGGAGGCTGGAAAAATCAGGACCCGAGACGTAGTAAGTACAACTTGGCAAATACATGTTAGAGGAACAAGGAACACGCTCATCAAAATCCATCATTAGGGCTACCTCGGCTTCTCCGCATTAGCTGAGCTTAACATGATTCTCTAACGCAGCTGCCTCTTTGAAGCAGATCCGTGAAGTAAGAGATGGGGAGACGTAAGCTGACGTGGAAAGCTCTCCCCGGCGGCGGCAGGGAGGTGCGGTCACGTGGCCCGACGTTGACATTGACGAGCGGCGGGTCCGGGCCCCGCTCCCTTTGTGGCCATCGCCGTCGCCAGCGCCTAAGGGCGAGCCGAGCGCAGGTTGGCCCGGGGGGTAGCCTTAGAGGACACAAAGGCGCGTTGCCACCGCCCCAGACTTAGCCGCCCGGCCCGTGGCACCCACTGGCTCTGGAGTAGAGAGGCTTAGCAATCCCCCCAGGGCTAGGTGAGACCTTTCTGTTTGTTTGTGTGCTTGCTGGGGCGTTCGGCGGCTCGCTGGCAGGCTCCGAGAAGGAGGGCACAGGAGAGATGCAGGCACGGTTTCTTCGGGAAAGCTGCTTCCGCGCAGGAAACGCTCCTGAAGAAATCGGCAGCGGTGTTTTTTTTTTTTTTTTTTTCTCCCCCCCCCCCCTTTTTTTTTTTTTTTTTGTTCTTTGTTCTTTAGTTTGTTTTGGTTCGGTTTGGGCTCCCACCCCCCCGAAAAAAAAAAGAAAAAAAAAAAGAAAAAAGCCCTCTCCTCGCAAGGGTTTTCTGGAAACGTTACTAGGAAGAATGTGCCAGGGTCAAGTCTGTACTGATTTTCATGGTGAATAGATTACATGCTTGCATTCATGTTCACTTCCGAAGCGGTTAGTGTCTTCCTTCCCTTACTTACATATTAACCTCAAATACCCCGCGCGGCTTCAGCCAGGCTTTACTGGAGGTAGTTAACAATGTCGGGTTCCCAGGACGCAGGTTCCCTCTCCTCACCCCCTCCAAACCGTCCCTTGCCTCATTCGCAACGCCAGAAAGCCCTTTAAATTGCAGACCACGGAGCTAGAGTGTTTGCTGATCTCTCCGCCTCAACGCTGCCGCTAAATACTTGGAAAACCAGTGGATGTTGGGCTACCCCGGCTTGACAAATACTCCGAGTTTAATTGCCAGAAGCCTAGCTAAAATTACTTGACATACTGTTAACCCCTAGGAACAAACTTGCCGTACCGAGATACTTTCCTTTTTGCTTCCTACCGTCGCTGAAGGCTGAGACCCAGGGAGACCTGTTTTAAAAACGTGGTTAAACTTTTACTATTGTTGCATGAAAGGGATGATATAGAAAGCGGATTGTACAGGGCAGAGACTAAAAAGCACTTCTCTGCCAATAAAAATGCACACCCCACCGAACGAGCAGAGCCAAAGAAAACAGAGAAATACGCCAAAGAATACAGCACCTTTTGAGGCATGGACATCCCTAGGCTCTCGGAAAAAATATTTTTTTGCTATTCTGATGCTCGATTTCAGAAAAGAAATATTTGGGTTCCGGCTGGATTTCATCAAAATAGAAAAACAGAACGGCAAAAGGCTATTGTGAAGTCGGTGCTCTTAGGAAATCAGACGTAATTCAAGATCCATGCCCCCGTGGACTTTGGAGGCTAATGGAAGGGTTTTTTTGAAAGAATATTTGGATTTTCCCCCCTCTTCCTCTGCAGCGCTGTGGAAGTATTTATATATCCGGAGAAAGTTCTCTAGTAAATTCTGGAGATCTTCGGTATTTAAATGTCAACATCGATTTGTTTATTTATTGCTTAGCTTATCGTAACTGACTCAATAACAAATCTAATCATGTTGTGCACAGAGAAAATATTCTCATTATGTATTTTCCCTGCGTTATAGTTAACTATGGCGTTTGAATTCAAGCTGTAAATTCAATATTATCAAGTAATTACTTTGTAGTGGAGTAAACTAATTTATTAGCATTAATGTTTATATGCCTTTTTCTTATTTTACAAGGGTTACCGTTCACAAATCAAATGCTCTGGACGTATCCCTGTAATGAACTCTTTATTTTGGTTTGCTGCAAGAACTTCTTACGCTAACTGCATGTCTGCGAGCTGAACTTGGAATTAATGAATTAATCTTCCGGCTTGACATATTTGCTAGAAAGTGGATGGAAAGAGATTGCATGTCGTCAAAACCGCCAGCAGAAGAGTGCAGTGTCGTTTAGGGATTGTAAAAGGGTTTGGGGGGCTTCCCTCTCTCTCCCCCTCTTCTTTTTTTTAACTTGGGTGGGGGGTGGAAGAGCTCTGGCTGGCTCTTTCCTTAACGCTATACTTTGCTCGCATTTACGTTCCCCCCTAGCTTTTGCGGGGGTGGGGGTGGGGGGTCGGAAGCCCTCTTTTGCTATCCGAGCGCTGCTTATTTTTCCTGTGTGTCCCCCCACCCTTCCACTCCGTCGATGAAAAACCTCTCCCCACACCCTGCACCCACGCAGACACCCCTCCCTTCGAACAAAAAGGAATGTATAAGGATTTCGGTGACTTTGAGATAACAAAGGCGCCACCATTGCAGAGCCTCGCCCCGCCTCTGTGTGATGGCAAACAAATTCTTGCACTTGTATTAGGGCTTTTAAGGCTATAATTGAACACGGCGCGTCTAGGAGAACCGAAAACAGTTCTAGACTGACCTGCGGTTTTATAGCACTTTGGCAGTCAACTTCAGCTTGTGTCAGAGCAGACATGACAGAGCTGCCCAGCGCTTACTCGCGGGACGCCACCTCCTCGGACTCACTGCAGCAGCCCCCCTCTTGCATTTCAATAAATTTCAAACCTTGGGGCTAGAAATGGGGAGCGGAGCTGGCACAGGTTTGTACGGGGCTCTTTCCCGCTCCTCTCTGCAGCCGGGGCCGTGGCGCCGCGCGAGGCTCCGCCGTGCCAGAGGTGGGGGCTGCCTCGGGGAAACAAAGGGAAATTAAGGCAAGAAGGGCGAGAAGGCGACTGGAAATGGGCGCGTGTGTGCCTGCGCGCGGGTGTGCGTGGGCGTGCGTGTGTCTGGGCGTATGTGTGCTTGCACAGCAGGCGCACGTGCAGCCCCGATGCCCACTGCTGACTCGCTCGGGCTGGCCTCCCCCCTCCCCAAACCAGGCAGCCTGCTTCTTCAAGCGGGTTTGCCTGCCACGCGAGGGGACCCCGAAACGCCTCCCGGTTCCGCCCGCAGGACGAGCGGGGCGGCTGACGGGGAAGGCTGCGAGGGGCGCAGCTCGCCTGGGAGCGAGCAGCCACCCCAAGGCACGGGCTGCTCTCCGCTTTATTTGCTGTTAAGTGAAACAGAGATAATGTACGCTTAAAGCCCCGGAATGTGTGGGTAATTGAAGGGAGCCTGCTGTTAAGTTGCTGCGTTCAGCACAATTATCAGTGTTGATTATTTGGTCTAACGTTGAATTGCTCTTTGAATACAGTAATTGGGACTTCCGCGTTGAGGAAGGGGGAAAACCGAGCCTTCCCCCCGCTAACCTCCCTGAAAACAACATAAACAAAGGCAGGCATTTCGTCTGGAGAGGCAAAATGCATTCGTTACGCCGCGCCGTGTATTTCGGCCGGATTAGAGAGGGTAAAACCGCCCTGAATTTGGGAGCTCTGCGGCAGGACGGTTTTGCAAAGGACAAGCGCGGCCAAGAGGTGGGGAGACTGTGAGCACATTGGCCCATAGCTAAGCTAAACAAAGCGAGGGGAAAAAAGCCACATCTCTTCTTTGCAGGAATATAAACAGAGCTAGGACGCCTCGATAGCCTAGCTTTTAAATATACAGATGGCGTGCGAAGGGAACTGTTTAACTTACTACGGCTCGTCTCCGAAAGGTCAAGTTCTATAGTATCTAAACTGTTGTGGTTTTCTACCCTGTTCGGCTTGCAAAAAATCTGAAGCCGACCAATTACCTTGCCAATAGGGTGGGTGCCTGTAATTAACAGGAGAAACGTGCGCTAAAAGGAATTTGCGTCAAGAGGAGCGAATTAAAATATTACGCGATCTCTGGCTTCAGTCGCTGCTGCTCCTCTCGCATAGGAAGGGTGAGGGGTGTTAGGGCTCGAGCGGGAGGAAACATCTCAGGAATTAGGACAGTGTTTTGTAAACTTGCGGGTTGATTACGGTCTACAAAGGCTTGTTCGAAAAACGTGATATTAGGGAATTCGCAACGTTGTTGCCAACGAAATGCGCAAACCCTTCCCACCTTTTCCGATGAAAATAAGGCCAGAAGGCGATAATTCTTCGCAAAATTTGCCAGGAATGCAGCTGCAGAAAAGCGTGCTTATTGTTTCGATTTTAAATTTTTCGGGCTCAGAAGTTTTTAACTGGCGTTTCTTCTTTTCTGTTTGCCTTTTTGTCCGTTATGGAAAGGAGCTATACATAGCCATCTGTTGGTTGTTTTTTTTTTTAAACTAAATATGTTCCCTTAACACTGCAATAGAAGGAAGTGTTGCAACAGTTAGCTAAGATTTTTCAAAGAATGTAAATAATAGGCGATTTTTTATATCGGCGAGATGGAAGCCCCGTGCTGTGATGTGGGACAGACTATTTATTGTCCAAAACCTGAAGCGGTATGGTTGTGATTTTGCTAGGAAACTGCAGAATACGTGTAAGGAGAAAGGGCAGATGTAAACAGGATTCAAGTCAAGGTTATTCTGACTTTTGTTGTTGTATTTAATCGCATTGCATTATTTCAGAGGCTTGAACATCGCAAAAGGCTGCGCTTGTCTGGGCGTAGAATATTTAGATCGATTTTCAATATCAGTTACCGAAATCCTTTCCTCCGTCACCCTCTGTGTCTTTTTAAGTCGCTGAGATGGAAAAGCCTCGGGGGGGGTGGGGGTGGGGGTGGTTTTTTCCTCCTCCCAACCCTCCCGTTTAGTTTGATCATTAGGATTAAACGGCTACGGACCTAAAGAGACCTACCCGTCGGTGGCGACCCACCATGATATTTTGCATCCCGTTGCGCTGATGAACACCCGAGGGCTCTATCTGAAGGCAGACCCTGACTCCGATAGCTGCAACAAGCCGAAATGTCGCGGGCTTTTTTTTCAAGAGAGAAGCTTCTTCCAGATAGATAACTTCTCTTTTTCGACAACTGTTTTCTTGCAGCCAAACGATTTGCTGTTGTGACAGACTCCCGGCGCCTTCACAAGC